GTTTTGTGACCATCACTTCTCTACTGTTTTACGTCTAACAGCAGACTTTCAACCTGCTACAGGTCTTACTATCATGCTTCAGAAAAGATACTTAGAAAATAAATAGGCCTGAAGTTCTGAGATTTTTTTTTAATGATATTGTTGCTATAGTTACAGCTGAAATGTTGTATAAAGCAAATTGCTTGTTGATGGAGAAATGCTGAGTAGCACAGCAGCATCCTTTTTCTGGATTTTATTACCTTCATTTCCTACTCTCCTCTTAAGATTAATGGACTTTTGAGCACTGTTCTGTTTTGAATAAGCCCTGATGATTTGATGTTAAAATAAATATATCTTATTAACATGTACTAGCTGACAATTGGATATATTCTAGTATGTTACGATCAACATGGAGTTATTTTTGATGCAATTTGTGTTTACCAGAGTTTTCCCTACTTGGAGATGAATTTTGATATCCTGATTATTAATGTGAAGCACTGAATGTAAATGTGATTGGTCTCATAGTATAGAATCTTCTGAATTTATTAAATGGATTTAGTAATAATATAGATGAAATATAAACTATTATTACGTTTTATACCACTAGGAGATACTTATACTGGAAATAAAATATATTTTAAAAGCACAAAAAACAAATGGAAATTGGGGCTGGCCCTGTGGCCGAGTGGTTAAGTTCGCGCGCTCTGCTGCAGGCGGCCCAGTATTTCGTCGGTTCGAGTCCTGGGCGCGGACATGGCACTGCTCGTCAGACCACGCTGAGGCAGCGTCCCACATGCCACAACTAGAGGAACCCACAACGAAGAATACACAACTATGTACCTGGGGGCTTTGGGGAGAAAAAGGAAAAAATAAAATCTTTAAAAAAAAAAAAAAACAAATGGAAATGGTCTGAGATCATTCATAACGATGACTAGTATGTTAAAAAAAAAAAAAGCTTCCACAGGTATCTGTATATTTTTCTATGTAGTAAACTCAGTAATATGATAGAAATGCCTTCAGTTTATATATATGTATAAATTACATATTATACCTTATATTATATATAATATATACTCATTTTCTGATTGTGAGACTTACTGTCTTTATACAGAAATATTTGAAAGATAAAACTGTAACTCATTTGATATTTTACCTTAAGGCAAAATATGATTAGTCATGTGCTTTACAATTGTAACTGTTGCAGAAAATGTTACTGGTATGTCTGGTAAATCTTTTCAGCTAGTAAAAGTCATATATGGTGGTGATATATTATGTATTGAATTTTTATATAATTTAAGGAATCTTGTTTAATTTATCTCTGGATTGCTGCTGGACTAGAAATATTATGAGTATTTAATGATGTAGCTATTGAGGAACTAAATGTGCAGATAACATTTTTTTGGACCTAGGAATATAATAATTAAATTCCTGAATACAGTGATACAAAAATCTTTGGGATTATTTTTAATAAAGAATGCAAAAAAATTGTGAACCACAGATTTTTACATCTTCTTATGTGGTATAGAGTACTTCTCAAATTGTTTTTTGTGAAGCAAATTTTTCTAGTAATTTTGTTTGAATTTAATGATGATATGATGATGGTGACCTGTATTGTCCAAAATGAACTTTCTTGAAAATTCATTTTTACTCTTTTTACTCATTATCAAAATTTGATCAGTTTTGTGTTTCTCATTTCTCCTTTTGATTTTACCATAGCCTCTGCCTTTTCCTGTCCTCTTTCTTAATAAACAAAACTTAAATTTACATGTTTGAAGAAATATAAAATTTTTGATGTTACCACGGTTTTTTCCCCCTTTTCAATTCCTCATTGATATTATCATTTCTGCTGCTTGCTGAATTTGTTGGCATTCTAATTTTGGTTCTAGGGCTGCAGAAAGAAGAAACACACATATGAGACCACCAATTTAGCATTTCTAACTGTCTAATGAAAAAATACTCTTGTGTGACTCATAATTGTTCAAATTCCTTAACTTAATGGATTTATCAGAAGATCCTGTTAAATCCATCACATCCTCTCCATTTCTCTTATTATTTTTTGCTGCATATTCTACTTATTTTGACCTATGTCTTATTCTATTTACTTGAATATGAGTTCCCTTATGAAATAAGCCTTTCACATATACTTTCCAAATGGTATATGTATTCCATAGATATACACAGAATAGATACATAAGTGAATTATGTTGTCATAATTATTTGACATAATAGTAACTTCAGTTTGCAAATTAATTTTGGTGACAATTACTCAAAGTGTAAAGTCAAAAGAAATAGGCTTGGCTTATAATCTTATTCAAAATGCAGATAATCATGTAACCAAGAAACCAAGTATAGCAACATCATGTTAAAAAATTACAAAATAGCCATGATTAGAAATATTTGGTTTAACTGAATATGGGTGGGAATTTAAGCAAAACACAATTTGAACTAGCCAATGATGCTCTCAGGATAAGTCCCTTTTTCTCTTAGATTGACACCGTTGCCGTTTCTTTGCCTTCTTGACCTTAGTAGTGTGTGGATTATCACTGCTTGTAAGTTTATCAAACATTATTTCAAATTGGGAAAATAAAGTGGGTTTTTCTTTAATTTTATTGAGGTCATAATAGTTCATAACATTGTAAAATTTCAGTTGTACATTATTATTTGTCAGTTACCATATAAATGTGTCCCTTCAACCCTTATGCCCACCCCTCAATCCCCTTCCCCTCTGGTAACCACTAATCTGTTCTCTTTGTCCATGTGTTAGTTTATCTGAAAATGAAGTGTTTTATGTGACATAATAGATTAAATAGATTATGCCTTTTATCCTCTGACCTAAATTTCAAATATATGAAAATAATGAGTATACTACTCATATAAATAGTCACTATGTTTATTTTCTCAAAATATTTTCCATTTAACAAGAGCTGTGTACCATTGTGGTATCATATGCTGTAAGTGGCAAGGCATTACAACTTTGTGAGAATAATTTGCCCCAAAATCTCAGATAAAATAATCACACTTTTATAATTGACAAGAATTTCCAATAAGATGAAACCTGTAAGCCTGGTATTTTAAATATTTCCTGGAGCCGCTAACTTATTTACATTAGGACATTCCCTGATAGGAGAGCTTAATTCACATCTGCATTTGTTTTTTAGACTCTGTGTGATAAAATGGCAGAGTGATACAATTATTTGTGTCTGTTTTTATTTTTAAAAATGTCATGCTCCCCTACAATATGACTGACAAATAATAATGTACAACTGAAATTTCACAAGGTTGTAAACTATCATAATCTCTATAAAATTAGAAAAAAAAAAATTTTGTGCTCCAGGTGAAAATATCCTAAGATGTGGCTCAACCAAGTAATGGCTTTGGAAACCACAGCACGGATTAAGATTGATTTTCTGTAGCTATTATGGAAGTGCCTCCTCCAGAGAGTATTTAACACAAGGGCTGGAGCTTTTAGTATTTGACATACGGGATTCAATCAGTTTCTTTCCTGAGACTTTTATATAAAGTCACTACATAAAGAAGCCACAGTTCACCGTAGAGTGGCTTAGACATGAAATTAAGAAGGGAATGGGTATTGAAAGATCATACAAACAGAAAGCAAATTAACCCGTATATGTACTAGTGTTTTATAGACAACGTTTTACTGAAATTAAATAATTGACTTTTGTCTTTACTCTGTTAGATCAGCAAATAAGCATTATAATGGCTTACAGTTTGCAAAACAGTCATTATTATTAAGCAACAATTTTTATGTCTCTAAAGAAATTGGAAGCTGAAGAAATGAAACTTAGATCACTAATAATATTCTAGAACAAGTGATTTTTTTGTTTCTAAATAATTTAAATTATGCAACTGGAAAGAGTGATCCAGTATGAAAAGCAGTTTGAAATTGAACTTCTCAGAAGACAATACAGCATATGAAAGCAATACTATTTGTATGACCATATGCTTTACAGAATAGGTATTCATTAAATGGTAGCAATTAGAAGCTGTCTCTATTTCTTACGTTATAATAGGTATAATGTAAGAAAACACACAACATACCTCAATAAGGGAGGAATTCTGCAATATTATTAGTCTAACATATCTGTCTCCCACGTGATCATTTGTATGTGTAATGAGGGAGTCGTTTTCAGTCTTTAGTTTGCAAAAGAATTAACCAACATTTTATTAAAAAGGCAGATCCTCCTTTCTCCTACCCCAGGATCCTGCTAAAATAGTTTTGGTGTAGTTCCTAGGAATCTTCATGTCTGCAGTCCACCTCAGTTGATTTGGTGCAGGTGGCCCATGGATTACACTGAGGAGCGGACATGTGAGGAAATGTTTTAGACAGCAATTCAGAAAACTCTGGGGAAAAAGATACCAAACAGTTGGAGCCTGTGAATGTTTCTTTCTCATTTGCATGAGAAATGTGAATACTATTAAGAATGAAATTATTTTTTAATCCTAAAGCAGATAGACAATTATGCACAAGTGATTCTTGAAAACTACCCTCACCTTGTGTAGTTCTAGTCTGGTAGATAAAGCTACACTTGACCCAAGTCAAGAGAGAGATCATAGGCTAAATCCTAAAAGAACTTTTGATTAATTGGTTGTTGAAAGAAAAGTACTATGAAATTTAATAGTTGTTGAATAAATATATGATGGAAATACTAATTTTGAAGGCATCAGGCGTAAAAATAGTTCTTTTTGGAACAAATGGGGATTTTGCACCCAAAAAATGGCTACTCTCCTGGGTCCATCTTTAATGTGATTTTTTCTTTTTCTTTTCTATGGTGAGGAGAGTGAATTGCTCATCTCTAGCAATTCCTCATATTTTTAGGTTTCAAATAGTCTTTTTGCAATCTTCTTTAGGAGTTGCACTGTGTCATTGGTTTAGAAAACAATGACCCACCTTCTCCATATACAAAAAATCAATTAGGAATTGCCAAATGTTAATCTTGGTAAATGTACCAAATAGATACATTATAATATAGTTAATCTGTTCATTGCTATTCTATTTGCAGATTCAAGAATGGCTTTGTTTAAATTGCCAAACCCAAAGAGCAATATCCGGACAGCTTGGAGACATAGGCAAAATGCCACCTATGCAGTCAGGACCAAAAGCCTCTTCCATATCTGTCCCTATAGAGCCGCTGTCTCAGAAAACAGCAATGCCTGCCCAAGTAAAAGTGAAAAAGAAGGAACAAGAAGTAAAAACAGAAGCTGAAAAAATCATTCCAGAAAAAGTAAAAGAAACCCCTTCAATTGAAAAAATTCCCCCTAAGGTAACCACAGATCAAAAACAAGAAGAGAGTAAACTAGAGAAAGACAAAATTTCAGCCCCTCAAGAAGAAAAGCCACCCCCTGAAGACAAAAAGCCTCTCTCCAAAGAAGAAAAGCCAACCACTGAAGACAAAAAGCTACCTCCTAAAGACAAAAGGCCACCTCCTGAAGACAAAAGGCCACCTCCTGAAGACAAAAGGTTATCCCCAGAAGCAAAAGCATCAGCCCTAGAGGAGGAACAGAAACATATCTTACTTAGAAGTCAAGTACAAATTGCTGAAGAAAAACCTGAAGGCAGAGTGGTTCCACAGGCAATGCAAGAAAAGAAACCAACACAGACCAAGACAGAGGCTTTACCATCTGGCACACCTCAGAGTCTGCCTAAGGAAGATGATGAGATGACTCATAAACTCAAAGAACGGCCACAGGCAGCATACACAGCAAAGACTGACCAGGTGGAACCTGGGAAAGAAAAAACAGTAAGTTATATTTTCCTAACTTTGCACAGTCTTACATGTGTAATTTACTAGTAACCGTTACCTAAGTACACAGAGTACTTAATGGTAATTATATAAGTGAAAGTCTTTAATTAATGACATTTTCAGAAAAGTGTAACAATTGTTTGCTGAAATGAAGAACTTTGGCTTAATCTAATTTAAATACAGCATAGATGTGAAATTAATTTTTCTAGCTCTTATCCTATTAAATAACTTATCAAAATACTATAGAGTGATAAGTTTCTTACAATTTTGTTATTCCTTTTTCTCTCCACTATGAACATAAAATCAGTATCCCCCTTTAACAAAATATTGTGTCTTTATTTAAGTTTCTATTCACTTAGCCACTTGGTTAAGCAAGAGTCAACAAGTTTCTTCTCACTTAAAAGTCTTTTAAGATGTGGTCAGCCATAAAATGATTAAATAGCTGTGATTGCAAAAAAAGAAGTGTGGCTAGCGTTCAGGACAAAAATCATTTTTGAAAAAGTTTATTTTAGTATTTAACATGATTTTAATATACATAATGTATTCTGTTCAGAGTTTTGTTAATGTCTTTAATATTGAAAGGTAATTTACAATCCAAGCATAACCTAGAATTATTTATTCTTTTCTCTTTCTTCAGTGGAAACTTTTTTTTTTTAAGATTTTATTTTTTTCCTTTTTCTCCCCAAAGCCCCCCGGTACATAGTTGTATATTCTTCGTTGTGGGTCCTTCTAGTTGTGGCATGTGGGACGCTGCCTCAGCATGGTTTGATGAGCAGTGCCATGGCCGCACCCAGGATTCGAACCAACAAAACACTGGGCTGCCTGCAGCGGAGCCCGCGAACTTAACCACTCAGCCATTGGGCCAACCCCTTCAGTGGAAACTTTTGAGAGTACCCCATCTCAACCTATATTTGCTCAAGCAATAATACATTTTTAGAAGAACTCTGATTTTTTTTTTAGAGCTACAGGAGATCTTATACCATATCTGATTGAGTGCATTTAATTCACAGATGACAGCAATGACTTGCAGGAAAATGAAATGATTTATTAATATTAAAACTTAATATTAGAACTCTCATTAGAACATACAGTCCATGCCGACTCTGGTTCAGTTGTTTTTTTGTTTAGAGTTTTAACACATGGTTACTAAGCCACCTCTGTACGTGGTGCATCACTCGTTAAATGAATCCTGGTCTTCCTTTGTTGTATAAAGGAGTTTATCAGAGTCAGAGAAAGCAGATGCTTGTTTACTCTCCATCTAATGACTCGATCTAGCCACCACCATCGCCACCATCACCTGTTGCTTCTCCTAGCTAATCACTTTGCATAACTTGATGCTTTTTACCATTTCTCCTTTAGTGAAACTGTCCTTGGCTTTCATGACCCTTCCTTTTTTGTTCTCTTTTTGTCTTTCTCATCACCCCTTATGAGTTGTACTTTGACTATCTCTATTGCTCGCTCTTTCCCAATCTCCATACCATGAGATTTTTCTGTTTTTATTTGAGTTCTGTCTTCTTTCCTCTTAGGGGAGCCACATGAATGATTCCTAAGTCTACTTGTTTACCTTCTGCCCCTCTTGAGTGTCAAGTCTGCATTTTTAAATACTCAGTAGGTCTTTTCTACTTCAAAGGCTCACTGTAAGCTGGAACTCAGTATGTTTGAATCTTATCCACTCTCTATAAAAGTAGTTTCTGCTTCTGAGTTTCTATTTCTGATAACGGCCGCATCATTCACCCTGTCTCTAGTCTCCCAGTCACTAATCTTCTGAGTAATCTGAGGTTTCTTCTTACCTGCCCTTTGCTCTCTGCATCTAGTTTATCACACTTCTGTCCATTAGCTCCGATTCCCAAGGACACTATTGAACTTACAGCCTTCATGACCATTCACCAATGATTTGAGTAATCTGATTACTGGTCCCTATGCCTTCTCTTTCTCTCTTCTCTGGTATATAGTTGTCAGATAGTTATTTTTCAGGGTTCAGATAATTTAACTCTTATCAGTCAGATATTTCTAATGATTCTCTCTTGATTGTTAGATATAGGCTAAACAAGAAGTATCCAAATATTTTGTGAATGCACTTTTTATTTTATTTTAAACCTTTATCACTTTCTTTTTATCATTTGCTATTATCACTACTTTTTTTTATTTTACAACTTCAATATGTGTATATATATTTGTTTCTAAATTAAATGTATGTACTAAGTTACTAATATGCTATTTATAATATAAAACATTCACAAAAAATAAAATAAACAGTAAAATAAGCTAAAACTACCATTTTTATTAGATTTATTTAAATACAGATACGTTTCATCACATTAAAATATAATTAATGATAGTATTTTAGAGAGAGAATTGATTGACTGTGCTTCAATATTTTTGAAAATCTTGGTCTGAAATTTTATGATAGAGTTGTTTGAAATTTAACTTCTAAGTTAAGCTTATTTTGATATTTTGACATTTATTTTTAAAGACTATCCATAACAAAAAGAGATAATCTACAAGGATATGACAGAAATGGGGGAAGTGGGTCAAAGACTGTGCTTGCCAAATTTTGCTACCTGTTTTCTAAGTTTTGAATTGAAAACAATTTTTTTTTAATTGTGGAAATTCCACAAATAAATGTTAATCTTCCCTGATACCAATCAATCATTTGATCTTGCTAACAATCAGAAAATGTGATGTTTTAAAGTATTTTTTTTAACAAATTGTTTTAAAACCCACTGGAGTTCTTCCTCTGGGAGGTTTATAAACATTAAAATATTCTGTTTAAAGTTTGTTAATGAGCAGATATGACAGCTTTCAAAAATGACATATGTCATTTTATGTAGTGTAATCACATGATGATTTCCAAATATCTATCTTCAAAGCACTGTTTCCATATCATAATTTACTTGAAGAGACTGCTAGCATTTTTTTTCCTAAATAGTTAATAGGTAGCATATTGCTGGTAACTAGGGTTTACTTTCTTTCTAAATATCTATTAAGTAGTATATTACTGAAAACCACTTGTCATCACCAAAAAGTTGAACAACTTTGGGATTCTTCTACTTTTGCAAAAAGAAAATTAAATCTTCACATTCTACGACTTTTAAAATTAATTTCCAATGAGATAATCAGTAAACCTCTGATTAAAATAAATTCATGTTTAAAAGAAATTCATAGTTATTCTCTAGCTCAGTGCAAAATATCGAAGATATTCTTCAAAATATGAAGGTCTCATTAGTACGCAACATGTACCACATCTGTAAAATCCTGAAGCACTTTGTTCAGTTCTGGCTTACTTGTAACAGATGCAGGAAATGAATTTCACATGTACTGCTATCGCTGTAACCTTACCCTTTAAAAAAATATTTCCACTCAGGAAAGCCACCCCTCACTATTTAATATACAGTTTTTTCATTAGAAATATATATATACTTTTATTTTTTATTTATTTTTTTTTGAGGAAGATTAGCCCTGAGCTAATATCTGCTGTCAATCCTCCTCTTTCTGCTGAGGAAGACTGGCCCTGAGCTAACATCCGTGCCCATCTTCCTCCACTTTATATGTGGGATGCCTACCACAGCATGGCATGCCCAGCTGTGCCATGTCTGCACCCGGGATCCGAACCTGCGAACCCCGCGTGGGCCACCAAAGCAGAAGGTGCACACTTAACTGCTCCGCCACCGGGCTGGCCCCTATATATATCTTTATTAAACAAATCACTTAATATTGAGGCTGTCTTCATTGGCACATTTTTCCTTAGTAGCTCACAATAGTAATTCTTTAAGTACAGTATTTTATTATTGAAACAGGTAATGAATATTATAAATTGAGCATGTTAGAAATATCTGCACTTTTATTCTATCACCACCAAACCTTTTGCCACTTACTTACTTTGTTCTAATAATTTTCCGCCAGACCTTCCATAGTTATTTCTGTATTCCTTCCAACAATATTTGCTGACAAAGAAATGCAGTTTGATATGTCACCATATTGTTTTCTACATATTACTTTAGCCAAGTTTCCCCAAATGTGTGACTTTTTTTTCTTTTACTATGAAGTAAGAAAATTCAAAAGAAGATTCTAAGTGTTTATTATTAAATTTATTGAAAATTTGTAAAGTGCTGGAGTATTTACTTACTGAAAATTATAGAAGTTTATGATGGTATCATAATATCACTTGCTTTAATGCCAAGGCATATTATGTGTTTAGTCACGATTTGCTATTAACAATAATAGATGTAAATACAGATATCAAATAATTTTCCTGATAATGTCTAATATTTTGGCCAGTTTTGTGTTAGATCTTACTGATCATCACTGTGTTTACTTTGTAATGTTGCTGATGAAAAGGTTGTAACAATGTGAAGAGTGTCAGCTTCTTTATTAATGTGTTTGTGTGTTTCTTCTATTATCAGTGTTATCTTTAACACATGATGTCTTTGCAAGAATCTTTGTCTACTACTTACCCATTATAGGAAAGTTGGTTTAGTTGAAACTGGGTAATATACCACAAATCTGCCCAGCTGAACAATAAGCTTCAACAGAAAGGTGAGCAAATGAAGTGACTGCCTCACTGTAACTTCTCGTAGTGTAACTCCCAGTTTTCTCCCAGGATTCCCCTCAGACCATGTGAGCAACTGACATAAGAAGTAAAAGAACACTGATGTCAATCAGTTTACTAAATATTAGTAAAGTGTAATTTCTATTTTGGATTAAAAGGTACAATAAAAATCCTAACATTTTCTTCTTGCAGTCCATTAGATCATTTTGCCTTCCTGCCCAGGTTTCTGCAGCCGTGGCCAAGACTCCTGTCTAAACAGCTTAGCTTGGCTTTGTCAGCCCTCTGGAATACGGCTTCATTATAACTTTCAAGCAACCCCTAATATTGCCCACAAGTGAGAAATAGATAACCAGCCAAATATGCCTTTGTGTAATTCCTAAAGGTAGCTTATGCTGTCTCTCTTCTGTACCTATGCTCAGTTTTTCTCTGTGCACCGACCATTTCAGCA